TGTTAACAAAGATAACTTTTCTTTAAATGTTTTTACCTAAATTTCTCTCTGTAAAGAACTTTTCCAGGAAGACTAAGCCACTTATCTCTTCCCTTGGGGGAGAAATATTTTTGTTCCTCCAGTAAATGCCCTAAGTGACTTTTTTCTTCCCCCTTTTCCAGCTAAGGAATTAAAGATGGCGTCTAAAGCCTCTAGATGAGTTAGTCCTGCTGGGCGCTCTTATGTGTATGAAAGTATATATGGTATTATGTCTCTCTGATTTTTCTTGCTTTTTCCAATCTGTTTAAGGCTTATTTAGTTATCTGCCAGTAGAAAAACCCCCAAGGGGTACAGGATAAATTCCTTTCCACCCCTATAATTAATTTGGAATACCAGTCCTAAGAGAAACTAAAGCTACAATTGGTATCTCCATCTTGAACCTGTTCCTTTTATCACTATTTAAATGGTGACCCAAATCACCTATAAAAACTAAAGTTTTACTAAGTGTAATAATGAGAATTATTATTCTCATTATCTGGAATCACTTGATCTAAAATAACTGGGTTTTACTGTGAGGAAACCAAAGTATTAATGTCATTACCACCTAAAAGAAGATTAAAGCATGTGTTTATGTGTAAGTCATGCAGTCCAAAGGGATGATAACATAGCCATAGCGGCTATTACAATGTCCTACAATCTAGAAATTAAAAACTAGGATGTAATAACTCTGAATGCAAGTAAAATGAGGTGTGGGTTTAAAAAGAAGGAATGTATTGGGAATGGATATTTTGAAGGTCCTGGGATGAATTTAGTGTCAAAATGAAATGGCTACCTTTGAAATGAAATGGTATAAATAAAGTGTTGAAGGTCTGAGCGAGGTATTTTAGGAAAAGAAATTTTATGTGCTCAAATGACTTACTACAACAATATTTAAATTTAATATCAGTAGTGTACTTATATAAAAGCAAACTTTACTTTTGCTTTCCACAATGGACACTACCTGGAGGGATTCGTTTTCTTTCAGACTGGAACCCTGGAAAATTTTCATCTGAGACTGTATCCCAGAATCCATATGTTTGATCTTCATCACCATGGAAATGGTGGCAAAAAGTGAAAGGGGGGAATTGTTAGGGGAAAAGGATGTCCTGAGATAATCTCATACAGGCTTTGTGGACTCCACCCCCACTCCAGACTAAAGCCATCAGGACATTGGGAAAGACAAATCCCATCACCACCAAGGGGAGGGTGGCTGGGACCTGAGGGTGGAGTTGGGCAGCCAGGTTGGATATAAAAACCAAACACGTGGGCCTTGCTCTCTCTCTGGCTCGCGATCGCTCGCCTCCTGGCTTCACCGCTCCTGGCTGGCGGCCAGCTCTCAGAGCGCCATTTTGGGATTCCTGATCGGCGGATCGGGTAGGACTCATTTAAAACTTTGTCTCCCACTTTTCTCCCAGAGCTGTACATTTCCTCATTTCCCTTTCCCTTGTAAATAAACCTTTTATTAACCTTTCACGTGTGCCTGCAGTAGAGCATTGATAAGTCCTTTTAAGCGCGCGGGTGAGGACCCACAGTCAGGCACCCCGTTTTGTATCGGGGCTGCTCTACAACAGAGTCAGTTATTCTTAAAACTGCTTTTACTAGATTTCCGTAACAGATTTAGGTAATCTGAACATCTTGGTGCTCTTTTACCCTCAGGTTAGGTTAACTGAGAGGAATCTTATTCCCATCAGCACCTTATCTGAAAAGTAGATCTACTCTTAAAAACCTGTATTTCTCATTCTGGGTAATTTGAGTACTATTTTGTAAAAATTTGTGTAAGTTTATAATAAAACTTTCCAGATATCCAAAGTCTGAAATAGTAAGACTTGTCAACATATAGGTTAACTGAGTTAAAGTGATCTAAATATTTAGTTATCTAAATGCTCTAAGGCACATGGGACTTCTTCAAACCTAATATTCTGCTACAATATCGTTGGTCAATTCTGATTTTAAGAGATGTATGTCACAAAAATGAGCAAACCACCTCGTCTATTGCTTTATACTCAGAATTTAAGTATGTTTATCTTATTTACTAAAAGGTTTGCTTACTAAACCTTATAATCAGAAAAATTAATTTACAGAAAAAGGAACTGACTGTGGTCTGGAAACAGGCGCATCACAGAACTGAGAAGACTGCAGAGCTGCTGAAAAACTGGACTCCTAAAAGTGGCTAATGGGAGATGGAGACTTTACTGAATGTCCTGAGAAGAACTAGTGCCTTCCGCGAATGTTTCCTGCTGCCTTGCCTTTGTCTCCAGAAAGCTGCCCTGCAAGCTGGCCACGTGGTCTGCAGCAGTCTGAGTCTTTTTATGAGGAACATGTGCTTTTCTCTCATCCCAAAACATAAAACGTGTGAGGACTGGTACTTCGTGGCACTGTGTTTGCACAAATCCAATAAGAGTTTTTTCCTCTATAGTCAGATGACTGAGGCTTGGACTGGAAACCAGACTGCCTCAGGGGTCCAAAGATCCCAGAGCCTGAGAACAAAGACTCCTGCCTTACTTTGGGGGTCCGAGGTCTGCCAAGAAGAGTAAAGAAGGTCACTCCCTTGGGAGTCCCGAAGACTCCAGTACATTGTACATTTTGGGATCGAAATGCACTTAAGGAGAGGAACTTATCTAAAAGTACAGGTATTTACAGGTAAATGGCGACCGTGGCATCTCCTGCCCCTGTGAGAGTCCATGTGGAGGTTCCCGCAAAGCCAGTCTTGAAAGGGCAGCAATATTACGGCCTTACTGTGCTTATGCAAAAGAGCCTGACAGACAAACTAGAACTAACTTGCCAATGGATTTTACTGGAATCAGTTGGTATAACTGCAGTGAGGGTGGAGGGAAATTATGTTTCAGTAATTTGATACCAATTTCTGGTCCTCTTCAGTCTGCAAATAGGACTGGACCCTAACATTTTTAATATTTATTCTGCACAAGTTTGATCCTAACATGCTACAGCGTCCGTCAGACACCCCTTTGCACAAGTCTCCCCTGATGATCAGGTGCTTCTGAACACTTAGAAGCATCATCCAGAAGCCTGGAAAGGACCCCATCCTGCCCTTCCCATCCCCCACTCTGCCCTAAAATGAAAGAGAGAAAACCGTGGCTTTGTCATACTCAGGTAAAACCTTACCACCCAAGCCAGTGGGCGGTGACCCTTCCTTTTCACTTTGAAGCTCACCTCACTTCCCCACCCGACACTGCTCTTGCTCAGGATACTCCCTGCCCTGACTAAACTGGGGTAATACCTTTCTCTGGGCTCCCTGCTGTGCCCAGGGGGCTGCTGAGTCTGTGGCCCCAGGCCCTTCCCAGCACTCAGGGGCTCCCCTGGGGGCTGCTGCCTTTGCCAGGACAAACCAGATTTAAACCAGCTCCTCTTGGGGTCTCCCTGGTGGTGCAATGGGTTAAGACACAACCTATGAAACTACCCGTAGAGGCTGCAGCAGGAGTTCCATCCCCAGCCAGGGAGCTACCCACATGGTGCAGCAGACCTCTCCTGCCGCCCGCTGCTCCCCTCAGCAGTGTACTTCGTCAGCCTGCCTGTTCTGCTCCCCACTCTGTCTCTGGTGAGTCCTCTCACCCCCCACAACGCCGGCCTGTACCCAGCTCTTGTATGCATAAATAAATACATCTTTAAAAAAAACCAAAACCAGCTCCTCTTTGCTGGGAAGGAACAGCCCATCCGCATTCCCGCGGGCGACACCGCAGCCCCAGGGGAAGGAGCCTTCATCAGGAGGAGGAACGCTGCTGACTGCGCCAGAGTGCACAGGTAACCCCACAAAACGTCAGGCCTTCCCTCGGACACGGCCTTTCCCAGGACCCCAAAAGACCCCTGCGCCGCCGCGGTATTGCTCACTCTCCTCACTCAGTTGCATTGCCAGAGGCAGTTTAGCTCCAACCTCCCCGCAGAGGACAGCGGCCCCTCGCCTCGGGGGCGCAGCCTGCACCCCCTCCAGAACCAGCGCTGGGGAGACCGCACGCCCCGGCCCGGGCGGCCAGCCCCGCGCCCACCCCGGCCCGCCGCCCCCCAGGCCTCCCCACGCGGCGCGAGGCGGGTCAGGGCGCGGGGCGCGAACCCGGGATGGAAAGTCTGCGGGGCCACACCCCGCAGCGGGGGAGGCGCACTCGGCAGGTCATGGAAGTTTCCAGGAACCTGAGGCGGGTCCGGAGAGATGCTCGGGCAGAGGCGGGGGCGGAGAGGAGCCTCAGTCACCGAACCTGACCGACCGGACCCCGAGGTCACAAAATGCGCAAAAACTTCGCCCCGGAGCGCCGGAGGCGCGCCCCTCCCCGGCCGGCGCCCCGCCGCGAGCTCTCGGGGACGCGGGGCCCCCGCGCCGCGCCTCGCCGTCTGTTCCCAGCCCCCGGCGCGCACGCCACCCCGGGGGGCTCGGCCGGAAGCGGGGCGCCCCAGGGCGGCGGGCGGGGGTCGCCTCGCGGCACCTCGGATTCTCCTGAGCTTGGAAGAAGGGCCCGCCCCTGACGGAGCGCGGCCGCGGGCGCGCGGGGCGACCGGCGGGTCTGGGTGGGGCCTCGCGTGGACGCTCGCGGGCCCCGGGGCGGCGCGGACTGGACGGGACCTGACGGGGAAGCGCGCGGGAGGCGGCCTCGTACCCGCTGTCGGCTCCGGCGGCGCCACGAGGGTCACGGCCGGGCCCGGGGCGCCCGTGAGGAGACGCCGCGCCCGTGAGAAATCGACGCGCGCGTGAGGCGACGTCGCGCCCGTGAGGAGACGTCGCGCCGGTGAGGAGACGCCGCGCCCGGGAGGAGACGCCGCGCCCGTGAGGAGACGCCGCGCCCGGCCGAGGGTCTGAGGCGCACGGCCGGGGGCGCTGGGCCAGCGGGCGCGGCCCCGACGGGGGCGGGGCGGCGGTCACCACGGCAACGGCGAGCGGCCCGCCCCGGCCGGCCGGAGCCGGGATTGGCGCGCCGCCGTCGGGCCCCGGAGGATAAAGGCGCGCGCCCGCCCCCGGCCCGCCGCTCCCGCCCGGGCCCGCGTCCCCGCCGCCGCGCGCAAGGTCAGTGCCCGGCGGCCGAGGCCCCGCGCCCGGCCGGGTGGGGGGGGCTCCGGCGTCCAGCGGCGTCGCGGGGCCCCTGGCCGGGGCGGGCTCGGGGGCCGCGCCGCGGAGTCGGGTCCGGCTCGCCGCGGTCCTGGGGTCGCCGCGGGCTCGGTGGTCCGCGCCGGGGCCGGGGAGGGCTGGAGCGCGCCGGGGGGCCCCCCTCGCCGGGAGGCAAGGGCCCCGCCGGGGATCGGGGGCCCGCGCGGTTCTGAAACCGGCTCGTCCGGCGTCTCCCGCGGAGGCAGGGCTGGAGCTCGCCCCTCCGCGCTGCCCTCCCCGGGGGCCGGGGCCCGCGAGGTCACGGGGAGCGGCGGGTGTGGCCGCCCGCCCCAGCCAGCCCCAGGCTCCCCTCTAGGGGACCGGGCGGGCCCGCGCCCGGGGCGCCCCTCTTCTGCACCCGGTACCCGAGAGCACGTGCGGGCGCGGGGAGCAGGGGGGAGCAGGGCGCGGGGAGCAGGGCAGGGGCGCGGGGAGCAGGGCAGGGGCGCGGGGAGCAGGGCGCGGGGAGCAGGGGCGCGGGGAGCAGGGGGAGCAGGGCGCGGGGAGCAGGGCGCGGGGAGCAGGGGGGAGCAGGGCGCGGGGAGCAGGGGCGCGGGGAGCAGGGGGAGCAGGGCGCGGGGAGCAGGGCGCGGGGAGCAGGGGGGAGCAGGGCGCGGGGAGCAGGGGCGCGGGGAGCAGGGCAGGGGCGCGGGGAGCAGGGCGCGGGGAGAGGGGCGCGGGAGAGGGGCGCGGGGAGCAGGGGCGCGGGGAGGAGGCGCCGCGGCTGGGCCTGGCCGCGGGGTCCGCCCGCCGTGGGCACCAGCAGGTCCAGGGGACCGCGGGAAGGAGGCGGCTCCCCCAGGTGCGCTGCCGGTCCTTGAAGCGCAGTGAGGTGGGGTGCTTGGGGCAGAGGCGTGCGGCCAGGGCCGGCATGGGCCAGCTGTGAGATCCGCTTTGGGGCGGTGGGATGGGGGGCACTCTGGCACCCCTGAGACTGGGGAAAGATAAAGTCCGTGGGGTGCAAGAGGTTTCAACAGGTTTACAGCAGAGAGAAGAGAACCCCCAGGATTCGGGAGACAGGGGCTGGGGGGTTAAACTTGGGGGGGCTTGGTGGCCACCACAGTGAACCTGCAGGTCTCTGGGGCAGGGCTCATCCCCACCCCGGATTTGCTGTCTTCTCAGCAATTTACACGCAAACCATTGCTTGGGGCTGGACATAGTTAAAAAAAATTTTTTTTTAATTTATCACTTCAATCATAACCAAAAATTTACCACCTTTAACATTTTTAAGTGTACTTTTCAGTGGCTTAAGTATATTCACAGTGTTGTAGGACAGATTTCTAGCGCTTTTTCGTCTAGCCAAACTGAGTCTTTGCCTACTAATTAAACACTCATATCCCCTTCTGCCCACCCCTCTCTTACTGCCTGTCAGCTTCCTAATCTGCAATGTTGATAGTAGTGTAGATACCCCTATAACCCATGTAAGTGGAATCACAGGGTGCTTGACTTTTATGACTTTTAATGTCCTTGAGGTTCATCCATGTCCCAGCTTGTGTGGAGGGTCCCCTTCTTCAAGGCTATATAATATTCCACAATATGTATCTACTGCCTTTGCTCATTCACCCATGGGGTGCTGATGTCTTTGACTTCATGCGTGGAAGTCATTACGTTGTGCATTCTTATTTACTGTTCATGGCTGAGAGGGCTAGACTAGAAATTCAGGGTGATCACAAGCCAGCAGAAATGTTACAGGAAGCAGATGGTGCCTTTTCAGGGAAAAGACATGTTTTGTGGGTTCTCAGATTTCAAATTGGAGTTTCTTTTACTATTCAGGAAACAGAATTATCTATCTTTAGATCTATCACAATTGAATTTGTTCCTCTGCCAAGAAATGAAGTAATTTTTCCTGAGAATGGGGATGTTCCGTTTTTTTGTGGAACCAAACACTTGGTTTCCTGACTGTCTGTTGGATGAGGCGCTCGGTGAGCGCTGACCCGGGGTGACATGCGCGTGTTGCTCAGGGCTTTGGGGGAGGCAGCCCCCTGGCCTCTGGGCACCTAAACCAACTAACTTGTCCATTCATCTCCTGCCAGACCTGCTTCTCCAGGAAGCCTGTTCTTGCAGAGCAGAGCAGTGTCTGCTCCTTGGCACCCCACATCCCAACAGTCTCCGAAGGGGGCGAGCCCTGAGCCTGTATCCTGATGCCACTGGCTGGCTGTGCAGGTGAGCGTGTGCGCTGGGGTCAGAGAGGTTGTGCAACAGCCTCCCAGAGAGGCCCGGCTGGGGAGGCTTCCCTTGGTTTATGGAGGCAACTTTGCTGACCTGTTTCTTTAAATCCCTTGCAGTTAAATAAATAAGGTGCTTGGAGAGAAAGTGCCGCCATCTGGTCTTGAAGGAGGAGGGACTGAACCTCCTCTTTGATGGTTTCCTTATATAAACTTAATAAGTAGCTTGGCAAAGCAAGTTTCACTTTAGAACAGCTGTTCTCAAAGCGCAGTCTAGGGAATGCTGGGGTTCCCCACAACCATGCATAGTCTGTGACATCATATGTTTAAAAGAATGTTATTTTTTTCTTTCTCTTACAAGTGCACAGTGGCAGTTTCCAGAGGTGTCATCATTGGTGATGCAATCAAAGCTCTTACTGATTTGGGGAAAAAATATTTTATTCTAAAATAGAAAGCTATTCATTGATATACTTTTTATACTTACGATAGCTTGTTGGCTTCAAAGGGGGATAATTAGAAGACTTAAGTTTTTCAACTCGAAGCTGCACCCTCAACACTTGGTCAGCGCTCCCCAGCTCGTGGGCGGGAGGGATTTAGGCCTGAGATACAGGCAAGGCCGAGCCAGACAAGCAAACCACAGCAACCCTGTCTTCCCACTGTTAGAGGAGTAGCTTTGCATGTGGCCACAGAAGCTTTGTGAATAATACGCTGGCACCATTGATCGTGGTTATCTTTCGGGTCCTCCACGGCAAGAGTGGGTGTCCGTGCAGGTAGACAGCAGCCTTGGGGAGCCCTGAGCTGCCTGCGTCAGCTTCCAGGCCAGAAGTGAAAAGGCTGTTGAAGCCTCCAACAGGGAAAGTTACCACGTTGCAGTTGCTGGAGAAATACAAGACAGCCTTGTCCGGAGGAAACCACGCTGAAGGGAATCACAGGAGCCGGCGCTTTCCATGGATTTGCTTGCTGTCAAACCTGCCCAGGGAGGCAGGTGGGCGGGAGCCTGGCAGAGCCCACATCCTGCTCAGGAGCCCTTCACCAAACAGGGAAAGTGATTCATTTTACTAACCCTTGACCCTGAGGACGTATCTTTTCAGTATGGCACGTGGTGAGTGGATGGATGTACTTGTCCTTTATTTGTAATTTTTTTTTTTTTATTGAAGTACCATTGGTTTACACAATTGTCAGTATTTTGGGAGTTTAGGATCCACCCCCTTTGGTCGCTTCTATAATGCACCCACCACCACAGCCCATTTGTCCTTGTTCTGTTTGTGTTACTGAGTGTGAGCTGGCCACTATTTATTTATTTATTTGTTTGTTTGTTTGCTTATTTATGCATACAAGAACTGGGGTGTAGACCAGAGGTGTGGGGTGGGGGTGAGAAGATTCACCAGAGACAGAGTGGGGAGCAGAACAGGCTGAGGGGAGCAGTTGGCAAGACAGGAGAAGTCTGCTGCGTCGTGTAGGTCAGCTCCCTGGCTGGGGATTGAACTGGTGCTTCAGTGGCTGGCGATAGCTTGATAGTGCTGAGACTTTAACCCCTGCGCCACCAGGGAGGCCTGAGTTGGCCACTTTTTTTTCCTAAAGAACATTTCACTCGGAAGGATTGACTAAGTGTGGAATCTACTTATACCCACCACTGTGAACTTGACAGCTTTCTAATCCTTAGGAATTTCTGGTGAGATCGGGATGATACTAACCAGCGGGACTGTGGAGGTGGAGGAGAGAAGTGTTAGTGTTGGTAGCTCTGTGTAGCTCATGGGCCCACGAGCCCAGTGTGTGAACTTAATCCTGCAGATCCACTGGATCAGAAGAGCCATTCAAAGCGTCACCAGGCGGCGGGTTTTAGGATGCCGGGGCAGGGAGGTTAACCGTTAGCTCAGATTCCCCACGGCCACTGACTTTTAAGAAGCACCCTGTGTTGGATTTTGGGTGTCGAAGATGAGTACTCGAAACTCTCTGCAAAGGCTTTTAAATCCTGCTCCATCCCTCACTATTGCACTGGGTGAGTCTGGATTTTCTTCCAGTATTTCAATCAAAGCAACAAACTGGTTGATTGAGACAGAAGCAGATGTGAGAAACCAGCTGTTTTCTATTAAGCCGCCATCAAACATCATACAAAATGTGAATTGACAGCCCTCTCCTCCCTAAGTGTGTTTCGGAAAATAGTTATTTTCATGAGAATGTTTATGTTAACATGTTGGAAGAACTGCATGCTGAAGATGCTTGAAGGTTTCTGATTCTGACTTTGTTTATAATGCCTACACTGCTCCCCAAAGCCATCCATCATTGGGAAGTGCTGCTGCTGGGTGGGTAAAAACAGGGGGTCGGGGGGTGCTGTAGGGCCCAGTGCAGTGAGCCTCAACTCTTCACTGTTAATTGTAGAGGATTAAGAAGCACCAGTTCTGAACTGCCCAGTGCTGGAACTTGACGACACTCACACCTTCGCCTTGAGGGGCCGAGAGAAGACGAAGGAGGTCATCATTAGCCTTTTCTCTTCTCTCCAACCTGTGAAAGGAAAACCAAGCTTTCCACTGGCACCATCCTCCAGCTGCTCTGGGAGCTAAGAATGCTGAGTTTCTGCCATGGGCTTCTTCACCCTCCTTGAATTTGCTGAAATAAGAGACTTTGAGAATCAAAGTTCTTACCTGGTCTCAGTGTCCACAGGCAAGAATGAACTCCCCTCGGGGCCTTGGAGGGGAGCTGGGGGAGAAGCCAGGCCTCCCTGGAATGAGGTGTGGACACCTGTCTTCCTGGCCTGGCCCCTCACAGTGAAGTCGGAGAAGCCTCTGCCGTGGTTGGGGAGTAGCCGGACAGGGCCCAGGCTCTCGGCGGGGCTGCCTGCTGACAGTAGGCCCCGCACCACCCACCAGACTCCCAACGCTCTACACCTTAGGAGCCCTGAACACACACTGCCAGGACCCACCCAGGGGTGTAAAGTGAATAAGTTCAGATGGTGGCTTCTCCTTTTGTTCTCCGTCACCTGAACTGTGACGGGATTTGGGGCCGCAGGCCTGCACCTGCTGCCAGTCCAGTCACTGCTAGGACTCAGGGCCCTGAGCTGAACCTGGAAATGTCTTCAGCTGTGGCTGGTTTTCCTCTCCTCCTTTTTGGTGCAGAATACAAGATGGCTGGACCTGGCCTGAAGGGCGGGCATCTGAGGTCCATCTCCCACTTACACAGCTGAGAGCTCACAGCTGACAGGGGTCCCGGGCTCCGGCCTAGCATACAGGCCTGGGCTCACAGGGGTTTGCTTCACGCCTGCGAAACAGCAGCTCTGAGAACCTCCCAAGACATCCTGCGCAGTGCTGGGGACTGATGAGGGTGGTGAAAGCCCCGTGAGCGTGTCCAGCCTCAGCCAGATGCGATCCGACCCCTTTGACCTCTGAGGCCGGGCTGGCTTCATGCTCCGTCAGCAGCGAGGCTGATGGTGGGGAGGTGGGGGACGCTGGTCTGACAGCAGACGTGACCTGGGAAGGAGAACTCGGCTTTTCTAAACAATCCTTTCTGAAGAGACGCTGCTAAGTCAGATGCATCCCAGCATACAAAACGGTACTGGGGGCCTTTAAAAATTATGTTTGTTGTGTGACCGTTGACAACACTACACGATCAGCTCCCGGTTGTGGCCCCGCTCGCTATTCATGAATTGAGACCCCTGGGCGCACAGACAGCAGGCACCGGCCTGAGCCAGGGGCTGAAAGTTTGCCCTCACATCACAGTTCAGAGACTGTGAACTGGCGTCACGCCCTCCGGGGATCTAGAGTCCCCCGTGGCGAGAGGGCTGTGTGTTGGGGACAAAGGCTCTGCTGTCACCTTTGCCACCGCTGTCTTTCAGGTGCAGGGAGAGGCATGCTGGTCCTCGGGAGACTGCTGAGCGCCATGGGCCCCGGTCGGCAGGCGTCCGGCCTGCCCATCAGGTATCTGGCCTCATCCCCTCGGCAAATCCCGGCCGACGCCGGCTTCCATGCTGCCTCCTCAGAATTGGAACGGCCACGCGTCTTAATTACAGGTTGGGTTTCGCGCACCCCCATTTGTAGCCTGAGTCTTGCTTTGCTTTCTGTGCCGCTTCTGCGTGGCTGCTTGTTTTCGGATCCTCTGTCACACCACCAGCTACTGTTGTTCACCAGAAGCTCTTCCCTCTTGGCTTCCTCGGAACTTGCCAGCTAGAATCCTGTCGTCAGCACCCCCGGGCCCTCCCCTTCACTCGGGTGGCTTCCGCTGACCAGTACCCCCAGCCCAGCTCCAGGGTCTGGGCGTTAGTCCCACGTTAGCCAGAGCTTGCTGGAGACCCTTCTGCCATCTCTGCGGTCTCAGTAACTTCTCTCGCCTGGATGTGCTCCAGCCCCCGGCGCCCGCTTCTGTAAGCGGCACATTGGAGCCTCCAAGTGTGGAAGCTGCCATGGTCACTAAAGTTCCTTGCCCTTTCAGCAGATGACCTCTTGAACCTCCTGGCCCTCCTCTGTGTCTCCACCCAATTAATGGGGGCAGGGGTCTGGATGACCCACTGCCCTCGAGCAGACGATCTGTTTGACCTTGAGTGTTGCGGCTGCTGTGTCAGGCACCAGGGCCCTCGCGGGGGCGGGCAGGTGGGCTGGGGCTCCTGGCCCAGGATGGCTGTCTGGCTGCTGTGACTTCTCCTGGGCAGAGCACTGTCCCCGACACCGGGGTACCTGTGACCTTCCTAATTAGCTAAGACCGAAGTTGATATCATTCTGTTCTTGCTCTCTGGGGGTAATTCAGGTGCTTGGATTTGGACTAAATCTTTCCTCTTAACTCAGGGGGCCTCGGCCAGCTTGGAGTGGGACTGGCTAACTTTTTGAGGTAAGAGCCCTGACACGGTGAGGTTGAGGAGCGGTGTTCCGAGGTCCACAACTCCCCGGGTTTCCCAGCCCAAGGTCCCTGCCCCGCCCTGCCTGCACCCAGGGCCGTGTCTGAGCAGCTGTCCAGCCAGTGTGCACCTGTCCCTCCCCGCGCTGCCTGCAGGCCCTTCACGCAGCATCTCCTGCATGCCCTTTGCCCTCTCTTCTCTAAGTTGGCCAGAGAAAGACACTTGACCCCAGCCGGGCTGCTAGATGTTTGGGGTGGTGGGAGTGCAGGCAGAAGCTGAAAAGGACCCCGGTGAGATCTGGAGAGTAGGGTAGATGGGCAGCAGGAGAGGCGGGAAGGATGAGGAGGGAGAGGTAGACACATAGGGGTGTGGGGAGAAATCGGCGATGACGACGACGGGGGGTGACTGGAGACAGAGAAGCTGGCGGGTGGGCCTCGGTGTGGCCACAGCGGGAGGCCTGTGCGCTGGGGAGTGGGAGGGGCTGACGGACAGCACAGGCAGCTCACGCGTCCAATCTTCCCTCCAGGAAGCGGTTCGGGAAGGACAACGTGATTCTGTCTGACATCAGGAAGCCTCCCGACCACGTCTTCCAAAGTGGTGAGCGCCTGCTTGTGCGCCGTCTTTCCTTGGCAGGCGCAGCTGGGAGGCGGCTCGGGAATCTGGGCTTGGGGGAGAGAGAGGTGGTGAGCACAGGCTGTGAGCGCCCGGGGTCCTTGGTGCTGTCCTCAGTGGTCCTGAAGGGCGGCCGCCAGCAGCCTGGCTGCATGGGGCCTCCTGAACTTGGAGTCTTGGCATCGTGTCTTTGGTATTATTTCTAGTTGCATCTTTGGAATAAAAGATTTCTTCTGTCTTTGTGTTTTCAGTCAACTTCTTGACTTGGGAAAAAAACGGACAATGAGTTCTACAGAGGAGAAGGCCCTTTACAAAAATTTCAAGAGATTAGTCCTGTTTCTGTGTGGCCCTGCTCTGGCCCCCCGGCTTGGCGTCAGCCTTCCGGTCTCATGGGAGGCGGGCAGCAGCTTGTGAATGAGGGGGAGCTGGCCCTGAACAAGACCCCAGTCCGATGTGGGGTGATGGACTCGCCATTGGGGTTTCTTCTGTGCCAGGGGGCAGTAGTTTTGGGGTTTATTCCCCTCCTATTTCTCTGTTTCTTTTAAAATTCGCCACTTTTGAGCATCCTGGAGTCCCTGTGTGTGGGGTGGGTGGTCCCCGTGCCAGCTCTGGCCGCCTGGCTGCCACCCAACCTGCCACTTACTCAGTACGATCTCGGCAAGTGAGTTAGTTTCCCTGTGCCTCAGTTTGCTCACGAGTGGACTGTACCTGCCATCGGGGCTGTGAGAGCCAAGCAGGCAGACGCCCCTGGGCACAGAGAGGCCTGGGTGGGTGTGAGCTGTGACTAGCTGGAGGGTGTGGCTTTTGCCCAAGAGAAGCGTGTAGGACTGACTAGTGGTGAGCACGTGCGCGTACACACACTGACTCCGAGATGCACACCTGAGGCTGTGCCCGTCCCGCGGGCAGCGCGACTTCCTTAGCAGGAACCAAGCACTGTGTTGTGTCCAGGGGCTTTCATTTCCAAGTTGATTGGGACCCTGGCCCACGGGCGGAGGGACAGGCACAGTCAGCAGCCCAGGCCCTTCACCCTGTGCCTCCCACAGGCCCCTTCGTTTACTCCGACATCCTGGACTACAAGCATCTGCGGGAGGTCGTGGTCAACCACCGTGTCACCTGGCTGGTCCACTACAGCGCCCTGCTCAGCGCCGTGGGCGAGGCCAACGTGTCCTTGGCGAGGGCCGTGAACATCACGGGTAAGCCCCCCTCCCCACCCCAGCCCCCTCGGGGTGCTCCTCCCGGCTGTGATCCATGTCCGTCCCTTCCAGGGCTGCACAACGTTCTGGATGTTGCGGCCGAGCACGGCCTGCGGCTCTTTGTGCCCAGCACCATCGGTGCCTTCGGCCCCACCTCTCCCCGGGACCCGGCCCCCGACCTCTGCGTCCAGAGGCCCAGGACCATCTACGGGGTGTCTAAGGTCCATGCGGAGCTCATGGGGGAGGTAAGCTTTGCCAGGCAAGGTAGCCCAGTGTCTGATCTCTCTGCCTTAGATGGCTGCCGCGTCATCCTTGGAGGGAGTCCCCCAACCCCCCTACCCCAACCCCCCAATGTGCTCATAAACCAATTCTGTTTGCCACATGGCACTGGGAGGCACCCTTGGCCACGCCATGCCCGGGGCTCAGCTGTCCCCACCTTCACTTGCTGACAGTCCGGCTTGCACGGCAGCTGGGTGACGAGTTTAGAACTTGGCATTGTGGAGAGCAGCTCACGTGTCCTCTTTTCCTTCATGCCCTGTGGTAACGACAGCTTGATGGTGCCAGGGCCTCAGCTGTGGGGGGGAGTCGCCCCCTCTGGCCTCCCACAGACCTGCCCTGTAGGAGCATGCTGATGGGAAGTGTCGGGACAAGGAGCAGTAACGCCTTTCTGAAGAGGGGTTCACACCTCTCAGGGGCTGCTGCGTTATTTACAGCACCGACCTGAACGCTCAGTCTGAAGATGACAACTTAGATGGGGTTGTTTATTGATAACGCACTTCAGAGATCCTAGAACCTCCTGGGGTATTTTAGCAGGACTGCATGGAGCGTTCCCGGGAGAAGGCTGCCCTTTGCATCGCTCTACCTGATTGACCCTTTTTCAGGGGAGTTTTCTCTCTCGCCGCAGTACTACCACCACCGCTATGGCTTAGACTTCCGGTGCCTGCGCTATCCCGGGATCATCTCGGCCGACTCCCAGCCCGGAGGCGGGACCACAGGTGTGTGTGGGGTCTGGAGCTTGGTGTGAGGAGCTTTCTTGCCACCCAAGGGTCTGGAGGAGGCGGGGCTGCCATCTCCTGCTGGAGCTTCTGCTTCTTCCCGGGTGTGCGCCTGAGAGCTGGCGGCTCTCTCAGGGCGCCTGCTCATCTGTGGGGGTGGCCACACAATGTGCAGGAACCAGATCGTTAACACTGGAGGGGAAATTTGTTGCCCAGAATGTAGGAAGAAGCCAAATAAGAAAGTCTCTTTCTTTGAATACAGCCTTTGGCTCTTAATACAGAGTTCTTTTGTTGTTAATTGTGTTATTTTGGCTGAAGTGATAGGGGTTTACAACGCTGTAAGGGGCTCACACCCCTTCAGATGCATGTCACCGCACTGTGCCCTCCACCGAGCACCCACAGTTCCCGCACACCCTGGCAGCACCCCGCCACCACCACCACCAGGAGCCTCAGTTCTGCTGTCAGGTTTCAAGGGTTGGTTAGGGTTTAGTTTTGTCTGTTCTTTGTCTTGGTCCCTTATACCCCGCACGTGGGTGAGCACACATGGTGTCTCCACTGTCTGCTCAGCGTGGTCCCTTCCAGGCCCCCGGGACACAGCTCTGTTCGGACGAGCTGCCTGGTGTGAGGGGTCACCAGTATTGTTACTCACAGTAGCAGCAGTCCCCCTGCTGGACTCGGGGTGCCTGTGGCAGACACTCCCACGCGGGCCCCTTCCCTGGGAGGGTCCGATACAGAACATGAAGGGTACTTGGCAAAATCTGAGGGGATGTAAAGTAACTGGTCTGGTTACTTTTTAAAAGTTTCTGCCTTAACACGCCGTTTCTTCAAGAGCATCTGGGGGCCGCGGGGTCCTCGAGACCCTTCCCCGGGCTTCCCGCCACACTCAGGGGTCACCTGCCTCTGCTGTCCTCCCCAGCCCGGGGTGGCCTCGGAGACTGCGTGGGTGCGGGGCTCTGCAGGCTGTTCTTGGGGGGCTGGAGCCCAGCTCTGAGCACCGCTCTGCTCCTCAGTTGTCTGTGGTTTGGAGCCTGTTTGTCATAGGAACTATACCCAGGAACATGTGATAGGCTTGCGAGGGGCATTTTAATATGCAGGAGTTTTTCAGTTCTCGGGTCACTTCTGATGCAGTAACTGTTGTAACTCCCATTAGTGGAGTCCGGGGTGAGGGGCTCAGCCACCACCTCTGCCCAGGAGGCTCAGGGCAAGGGCCAGGCCTGCTCTCTTGCAGACTACGCTGTGCAGATTTTCCACCACGCGGTCAGGAGTGGCCAGTTCGAGTGCAACCTGAGGGCGGGGACGAGGCTCCCGATGATGTACCTGGAGGACTGCCTCAGGGCCACGCTGCAGGTGATGGAGGCGCCCGCTGCCGCCCTCTCCATGCGGACCTACAATGTCAATGCCATGAGCTTCACCCCTGAGGAGCTGGCCCGGGAGGTCCTCAAGCACATCCCGGGGTTCCGGATCACCTACAACGTGGACTCCGTCAGGCAGGCCATCGGTGGGTACCTCTTGGCCGAAGGCCTAACGCCTTCATGAAGCGGCAGCTCCTCAGACATGAACCCCGATGCCAGAAGGGCAAGGTCCCCCTGAGAGTCCCCCACCTGGGGGAGGAGGTATAGCCGCAGCAGCCACATAACTGTGAGGTCTCTGCGCGAGGAGCTGTCCAAGAACCATGGCCCCTCTAGTCCCCCTAGGAGGGGGTTTCCTTTAGGTCCCTTGCATGATAGACCATTACCTAGAATGTTCTAGAGCCTGAATAACAAAGCTGCCTTCCTTGTCTCACCCAGCGGATAGCTGGCCCATGAACTTCGACGACAGCAACGCCCGGAAGGACTGGGGATGGAAACACGATTTTGACCTCCCCGAGCTGGTGACCACGATGCTGAGTTACAGCGGGGCTGATGCCAGACTCGCCCGAGCCAGCTGACGGGGCTGGGCAGAGCACCGGGTCCTGGGCAGAGGTGCAGGATGCCATCACCCCAGGGTGTGGGCCGGGGGCCTGGTGACTGGAGAGGGCGACCTGGTAGCTGAGGCTCGCGGCCCGTTGTGGACAGCCCAGTGGAGGACACCTCAGCCATCTCCATGACCTCTGGGTTTGGTGGGCTTCAAGATCTTTGCCATTTGTCCAAATACACGGCACAGTGATGGCCCACGACACAGGTCCCCACTTTCCTTATTAAGGTGAAGCGGCCTTTTCTGGGAGGGCAGAGTGTGATGTGTGTGAAATGAAATTAAATTCAGATGTTTCTCATAAGACTCTGTTCTCTTGACTAGAGACCAAAGATGACATTTTAGAGATGATCTTCTCATTTAAAAGTCGCCTTGACTGACCTATCAGAGTATAAACATCGTTCGATTAATCCTGTGTCCATAACGTTCAAGGGATTTTCTTTGAAAATTATCATTGAGTATTTTTCTTTAAGACGATATATCTGGGAAATTAAGAATATCAGAGATGATCTAATGGTAACGTCTGTCTTGCCCTGAGTGCCTTCCTGGTGCAGGCCGTGGCCATCCCCAGGGCTTTTCTTTTTTTTTTTGTGGGACCCTCGCTGGTGGCCGGGGATCGAGCTGGTGCTGCAGAGGCTGCAGGCAGCCTCGCAACCCAGCGCTCAACTGCTGCGCCACCAGGGGAGGCCCCCCAGGGCTTATTTTCTAAGTAGATAGGTTTCTGGGCTCTGCCCCTTCAGAGCAGCTCAGTAAATGGGACTGAATCTCCAGGTCTCCCCACTCTTTCGCCACTAGTCGAGGCCAGTTCCCAGCCCTGCTTTCCTGTGTGTGACCCGCCCGGTGGCGTCCTCGGGCGAGCACTGGGCCCTCTGCAGCGTCGGCTGTTGGAAGGTGGCTTCACCTGGGAGACACCGAGGGCCAACCTCACCCGCTGCCAGTGGCTGCCCAGGATCAAAAGGCAGTTCTCTCAGATGCTTACCGGCCTCTGCTTGGAATTCTTAACTGCTAGGTCAAAATGTGAATGTTTTTCATAGGCATAACTAGGTTGAAAACCTATTTTGCTTTGCATGGGAAACTCTCCAGATAATTGAATTGTCTCATCATCAGGTGGATTGAATTTTTCCCCTTCTTATCAAGTCTGGCTGTGCACATTTTATTTTCTTAAACAGCTAGTCATGAGTGGTGTTTTTTAGCTCTAATAAGATCTTTTTCACATATGGTAAAATTCACTAGGTTTGAAGTTCAGGATGTTTAGCAGCATCCCAGCTGTGCAGCCGCGCAGTGCCGGGAAGGTGCAGAGCAGGATCTCTGATCTGGGTAGATGGTAAAGGAGAGTCCTGGAGCTCTCGGTGGCTTTTCAGGATTTTATTGAGATTTTTACAAAGCAGGGAGGTCCTCAGCGAGTCTTCCCTTTTTTTTAAATACAAGAACCGGGGTACAGGCCAGAGCGCGGGAGGGTGAGAGGGCCCACCAGAGACAGCGGGGAGCAGAACAGGCAGACAGACCAAAGACACTGCTGAGGGGAGCAGCGGGCAAGACAGGAAAGGTCTGCCACGCCATGTGGCAATCTCCCTGGCCGGCCAGGGATCGAACCCGCTCTGCAGAGGCTGTGGACAGCTTCACAGCACTACGCTCAACCCGCTGCGCCACCGGGGAGGCTCCGAGTCTTCACTCTTCCTGGGCTCTCTGGCATTCTCCCGCGGTCTCTGCTCCTCCTTTGCTGCTCTGCTGGTTCTGCTCTCATTCTGCTGCTCCTCGTTCTCTTCGCATTCAGCTGGCGTCCCCATGACACCGCCCTTATAAGCCCGGTCTCAGCCCAGGTGCGCCCACCTAAGCATGCAGGACCGCTGGGCTCCATCATTAATGCTAATGGCGGGAGGACGGGAAAGCCTGATACTTTTTCACTTACCCAACAAGCTGTCATGAAAATTAACATCAGACTGTTTCCTCGTCCCACAAAGACACCCCAGCAGCCACCGCACAGGACCTGGTCTGTACAAGGCTGCAGAGGTGTGGGGGGCGGGGGGGTTCCCACCTCTTGATGTTAGCAACTTCCTTAGCACCGCGTGCACAGCCCCAGGGCACGGCCCGGTGAGGGCTTCGATCGTCCCACCACGAGTCATTCACTGGAGCACGTTTTTTGTCCGTTTGTCAGTTGGGTCTCGTTTGGGTTGTAACTTTTCGTCAAATAAGGCCCCCCAGAATATTTGTGTAGCTGACGGGGCTTTCAGGACCACCTTTTCCTTGTTTACACTTAAGCTCTTAATTTACTCTCAAGTGCCTTAAAGGAGTGAGAAATTCTCCCTGTGGGGGGTGAAGCACCTGCGTGGAGTGTCTCTTGGGTCTGGTCTTCCAGACTTTCCAGCGGATTCCTCAGACGACCTGGACTTGGGGTCCCTGGAGGCTTCCTGTCCTCCTCCTGAGTTGGTGGCGGCACCTGCGGGAGAGCCTGTGAGGGGACAGTGGCCGTCCCAGCACTCAGGTGCTGCTTGTTCGCGACAGCCTTGCCCTCCAGTTACCACTCAAATTAGACGTGATCTTTTAGCTCAACACACGCTCCTGTGCACTCGGCATCCCGGGAGATGACGTGGTGTCTGCTATGAACGCTTCCCTTTCTTCTGGGGAAGAGGATGTTTTATGGTTAATTTGGAAATGATCTGAGGCGCTGTTTAGAAGGCAAAGGATGGGAGTAATTGCAAAATTTTTTAATATCTTTACTGTTTTAGGATTAAAAAAGCTTTGTCTTTTTACAGCTTTTAAAATAGGTTTCATGTAAGAGGTGCTGCTAGTAAGGATAAATTTCTCATTTTTCTCTCCTGTAGCTTCTTTCATGTATAGCCCAGGGTTTTGTTTCCACACAGCCCCAGTGTTTCTAGATCGAAGGTGAAACCCATCACAAGTGTTCTCAAAGTTCACTCTACACGCTCTTCTTAAGAAAGATCCATTTTTTGGGCCTCCCTGGTGGCGCAGCGGTTGAGCGCTGGGTTGCGAAGCTGCCCGCAGCCTCTGCAGCGCCGGTTCAATCCCCGGCTGCTCCCCGGCCACCGGAGGAGGGTCCCACATGGCGCGCAGACCTCTCCTGCCGCCCGCTGCTCCCCTCAGCAGTGTCCTTCGGTCCTTCTGCCTGTTCTGCTCCCTACTCTGGCTCTGGTGAATTCTCTCACCCTCCCGCGCTTCTGACTGTACTCAGTGCTTGTATAAATATAAAAAACAAATAAATAAAAAATATTAAAAAAAAAAAAGAAAGATCCATTTTTTCCCCCACCAGCAGCCCTTATGTCCCCCGCCCGGCTCCTCCCTCTTGGCCTCAGGCCTTGCCGTGTTTACAAACATCTGCCGGGTTTTGTGCGTAGCCCGCTGTGTCAGATCGTCTACCGTGGAAATGACCGGTGCTCATCTTTGTTATTCCGCACCCCATGCCCCCAGCTCGTCCCGGGCTGCTGTAAACGGCTTCATTTTTCCTTTCCTTTTAGCTGAACAATGTCTGAGTGCGCCTCGTCCCCTTGATCCAGGTGTGCAGCAAGGACACGGAGGCCGCGTCCACGCTCCAGCGGCTGTGACCTGCGCTGCCATCGACGCTGTCGGCACATGTCTTTCCGAGCCGATGGCTTCGTGTTCTTCGATGATCCCAAGGCTGCGATGGCGGGTCAGCCTCCACATTTTCAGGACGCGTTTGCAGCCACCCCAGGCCGGGGGGCGGGGGAGCGGGCGGTCAGCTTCAGTTCTCCCCCGTGAAAAGACAATACTTACTGCTGACCCGCTTTCTCTCCTAGTATTTCTCCGGCGTCTCCTCCTGTCTAGTCCCGCCCCGGAGTGATGCCGCCCGATGGCCCCTCGCCTCGCGGCTCAGGTGTCCCCTTCTACACACTCGCTGCCCAGGCTCTCCGGGCGCCGGCGTCCATAGTGAAGGTGTGCGTGCAAGACGGCAGGGGCCGGTCCCAGACGCCCATGGCGGTGTTGCGGAAATACACTCTAGCCTTTTCCCCAGGCAGGGGAAGAACAAGCGGAACTTGAGGAATGGTGAGGCCAGGAAAGCTTTGTTACTCGTGCATGAGGCCTCAGACCCGGGTAGTCCCCTCAGGTCTGAGCCCTGGTCCAGAGACAAAGAGTCTCTTTTACACACAACCACTTTACACTGACAAAGGCGGTGAGTTCGCGTACACACTCTTGACGCAGGAAAAGGGGAAGGACACAGATCTTCCGGGATGGCCGGGGAGAGCAATCAGCCTAGCGGGCTGCCAGGCCTTGTTTCGATGTGCTTGTTAAGGAAGCAAACTTATTGTTTACTTTACATTTCCAGGCCCAGGACTCTTTTACAGGGAAAGATTTCTTTTTCTTAGCAGTTCCCTGTCAGCAGGAGGGCGGGAAAAGCCTGCTTCTTAACTCATTCACCCCGCAAAAAGGAAAAACACAGCGGTTGACCTCGCCCTGCTCTTTCTTCCTGCAGATTTCCAGGGGCCCCCAGCGCCGGTCCTGCGGCGTGTTCTTGGCGGCCTTGCTGGCTCAGCCCATGTTGCCCTAAGACCTGCATCAGGGGCGCTTCAGGGGGAAGCAGGCTGTGGTGCTTCAAACCACCTGAGGGTCATGGCTGCACATGGTCACTTCCTGGGGGTTTTGAAGGACGACGTTTTATATAAAAATTATTATAAACTCTTTAAGGGGTTCTACCATAATAAAAATTTAATAAGAACTCACTTGAGACAAATCAATGCTATTGTATTATCCCAAATGGTTTTCGTGAGAAGCATGACCTGGAACAAACACCCGCGAAGGTTGTGTCTATGGGTTCCTGGCGTCAGACGAGCTGCTTTGCATGTTGACCGTTTCACCCCCTTCCCGGCCGGCCGTGTTCATTATCAGATCCTCAAGTCCTTGGCGTTGGCGGTTTACGAGCAGGCCCGTGAGTAAGACAAACTAATACTCCTGAGTTTTTCCATTTTGAAACTTCCAGTATGTGCCAGGGGTAAGCTCGCCTCAGCAGGGTCACTGGGCAGCAGAGAAGCTGGGTCTCCTCGGAGTCACCGCGTGTGTTGACTTGATGATGAACCTTAGGATGGCAGTGCATGGGGGGGCGGGGAAGGGCCTGTGGGGCGCAGATGCAGGGGCGTCCCCCTCGCTTCCCTCAGCGCGGGCGGGCTCGGCGCCCCTGCGCCACTGCCCGCTCAGCCCCGCCTGCAGACAGCCCTTCTCCTGGCCCCGGGACCCCACAGCTCAGTCCGCAGGCCCCAGGGCCCCAGAGGGAGACAGCTCAGCAGAGGGGGCTCTGCGATGCCTCCCCCTGTCCTGGCTCACACCCTCGCACGGCTGCCGCGCCGCGTGCCAGCGTC